TATATAATAGTTATAAGCCTAGTTTATGCTATATACCTTAATAGTATAGCCCCTAGCTAGTGTCTAAGCATTATAGACCCTAGGGGTTACAATTTCCCCCTAAGGTAGAAACTATAAAAAACCACCCCTATTAGCTTAGTAAGTAGATTACTAGCAAGACTATAATAGTAGTAAAACTAAAAAAGCAGTAAGTCTATAACAGTAGTTAGACTATAAAAAGCCTTTTATAATCTAAGGAGGTATATTATACAGTAATATAAGGTATTAGTTACTACTATATAATTAATAGTGTTATTTTTATATATAATATATAGCTACTAGTAGTAAAATAAAAAAGGCTATAACTACTTATTATATTAGCGTTAGCTAGGCTACCTAATTTACTAGGCCTACTAGGTTTAATACTTTAGTAAAAAGCCTATATAGCCTTTCTTTATATATATACTAAAGCTACTAAAGTAAGTACCTAGATTAAGTAAAGACCTATACCTTAAAGCTAGTTAAAATTAGCTTTATTAAGATAGTTATTATTTTTTAGCTTTAGCTTATAAATTAAACTATTATCTTATTAATAGTAAAATTAAAGCTAGCTATATAAAAGAAGTCTTTAGTTACTTAGATATAAGCTAACTATTAGTTAACTTTCTAGTATATATTTAGTATCTAGGCCTTTTTTTACTCTACTAGCTAGTTCTAGGCTAAGAACTTAAAAAAGTTAAATAACTAAAGCTAAGTATAAAGTTACTAAAAGTAGTCTTTAGTTATAAAGTATATAAATAAATATATAAGGTTTCTTTTTATTATTAAGTTAACTAATATTTTAATATTTAAGATTTAAGGTATATACTTATATAAATTAAAATACTTAAGAAAAAGTAAATCTTATTAGTAAAAGTATTTTTTTACTAATATACTTATAACTTTTATTAATAAAAGCTAGTCTTAAATAATAGTACTATATTTATTTAATTAACTTATTATTAAATTAACTATAAAGGTATATAATAAAAAAAAGGTTAATTAAGATATTAATATTAGATAACTTATAGACCTTAGGCTACTAGTCTAGTACTTTAAAAAAGATAAAAGAGCCTAGAGGGCCTAGGTCTACTAGAGGCTTATTAGGCTAGATTATTATATTATTATACTACTTTAGGTAGTAGTTATTTAGGTAAGTAATAGTAAGGTCCTTTAGTAGTACCTTTATATAAATAGTACTATAAATAAAGGTATCTAAATTAGAAGATATTATAATTTTAATAATAATATTAGTAATAATATTAAAATTAGTAGTAGTTATTAATAATATAATATTTTAAAATAATATATTATTATATATCTTTAAAAATAAAAAGTAAAAGTAAAAAGGGATCTATATTAAGGTTAATAAGGTCTACTTATACTTAAAGAAATAGCCCTTTAAGTATAAGTAGACCTTACTAACTTTAATAAAAGGTAAAAGTAAATTAGACTATAGTAATTAATACTAAAAGCTAATAGTTTTAAAGTACTTTTATTTATATAGTATTTTACTTATACTAAAAGTACTAATAATATTTATTTTTATATAAAGATATATTATAATTTAAGTAACTTTACTAGGTTTTTTATTACTAGTTACTAAATATTTACTTAAGAGCCTTTTATTACTATATATTATACTAGAAGTAAAATAAAGCCTTTTTTTATAATTCTTATTAGTAGTCTAATAATAAAAGATTAGTCTTTTATTTATAAGACTATTACTAAAGTTATAAAACCTAGTAACCTTTTACTAATACTTTAAACTATTAAATAAGCTAAAAAAAAAGTAGTTATTACTATTAATATTAGTATATAACCTTTAGTTACTTTAGGCTTTTTTTTTAGCTAAAGATAAAAGGTATTAATAATAATAACTTTAAATAAAAAAGTCTAAGTAATAGCTTACTAAGATTCTTAATATATATAGTAGTTAAAGTAATATAAGACCTTTATATAGTTACTAATATTTATTTTATTTATAGTATAATTATAGTTATTTATTAGCTAAAGGACTAGAAGGTCTTTTTAAATATCTAGGCTAAAAACCTCTTAAGTAGTCTACTTTACTACTATTTTACTAGCTAGCTAGTAGTAGCTTTAGACTATACTTTTAGCTTAGTTACTTTAATATACTATAGTAAAAAAAAGTATAAAGGTATTATTTTTTTAGTTAATTTAGTTAACTTATATAAAAATAAACTAGTTAATATATATATTTATATACTAAAGTAGTTTATAAATATATACTAGGCTATTAGTAGTAAAAATATAGTATATTTAGTCTTATAGAATACTTTAGCCTTTTTTACTTTTTTTAGTAATAAGTATAATATTAATACTACTATTCTTTTAGTATATACTAAAGGCTTTAACTTACTAGCTTTAAAAGGCCTAGAAAAGCCTAACTAAAGTAAAAAAGTTATTTAAAAATATATAATATATAGCTATTAGTAATAAGGTAAAAAAGGCTATAACTACTTACTATATTAGTATTAGCTAAGCTACCTAATTTACTAGGCCTACTAGGTTTAGTGCTTTAGTAAAAAGCCTATATAGCCTTTTTTTATATATATACTAAAGCTACTAAAGTAAGTACCTAGATTAAGTAAAGACCTATACTTTAAAGCTAGTTAAAATTAGCTTTATTAAAATAGTTATTATTTTTTAGCTTTAGCCTATAAATTAGACTATTACTTTATTAATAATAAAATTAAAGCTAGCTATATAAAAAAAGTCTTTAGTTACCTAGATATAAGCTAACTATTAGTTAACTTTCTAGTATATATTTAATATCTAGGCCTTTTTTTAGTCTACTAGCTAGTTTTAGGCTAAGAACTTAAAAAAGTTAAATAACTAAAGCTAAGTATAAAGTTACTAAAAGTAGTTCTTAGTTATAAAGTATATAAATAAATATATAAGGTCTTTTTTTTATTATTAAGTTAACTAATATCTTAATATTTAAGATTTAAAGTATATACTTATATAAATTAAAATACTTAAAAAAAAGTAAATTTTATTAGTAAAAGTATCCTTTTACTAATATACTTATAATCTTTATTAATAAAGGCTAGCCTTAAATAATAATACTATATTTATTTAGTTAACTTACTATTAAATTAACTATAAAGGTATATAATAAAAGAAAAAGTTAATTAAAGTATTAATATTAAATAACCTATAGACCTTAGGCTACTAGTCTAGTACTTTAAAAAAGATAAAGGAGCCTAGAGGGCCTAGGTCTACTAGAGGCTTATTAGGCTAAATTATTATATTATTATACTACTCTAGGCAGTAGTTATCTAGGTAGGTAATAGTAAGGTCCTCTAGTAGTACCTCTATATAGATAATACTATAGATAAAGGTATCTAAATTAGAAGATATTATAATTTTAATAATAATATTAGTAATAATATTAAAATTAGTAGTAGTTACTAATAAAATAATATTCTAAAATAATTTATTATTATATATCTCTAAAAGTAAGGGGTAAAAGTAGAGGGGGATCTATATTAGGGTTAGTGAGGTCTGCTTGCACTTAAAGGGATATATTTGCCTTAGTAACTATTTTTCAGGATTCAAGTTTCCAGGGCCGCCAGGTTTGAACACACGAAGAATGTTGCCTGTAGTGTGCATTGTGCCAAGAGATAGGAAGGTTACAACGCTTAGCAGATCGACTGCTACAGCCTATCACATTGTACAAGTTAACGCCTAAAGGAAGCGAGACCGCCTTCTACAAATGCCCAGTGAGTGACGCCTTTGATTGGCTTTCAAAATATTTAGTGTAGCCCACTAATTACCGATAACGCTCTATTGATCTTGGCAAAGATGCCGTTGGATAAGAGGTGGAGAAATCAAATACCGAGAAACGTTTTTTTCTTCATACTTTCACCGTTTCTTGACCTTCCATATAGAGCTTGCACTTCAGTTGATATGGCTTGGCCTTGCCTTGCTGATACGCTCTCGGGCCCGTTTGCCAACATAACATCGCCCAGCACTACAATGATTGTACTACCTTCCTAGAAAACGAGCCAAGTAAACCAGAGACCTACAAGTGTCGAGCCACTTGTCGGTATTCCAATCTATCCTTTCTGCTCTCATTTCATCATTTCCCGGCCCACTAAAACAGCCCTGATTGCTATTATCAGCTGCTTACAAAGTGGGCATTGCACTGTATGACCGCTGACAGCTAGCGGATTAGAGACTTGAACTTCTATTGAAAGCGTAGAACCTTATTTCAACAATAACTAATGTTGACTTGACACATGTTGCTGCTGTTGTTATCTGCCGGAGACCTGGCATACATTTCACTGTCGGCTTGCCCGAATAGGATATACCGCCGGTGAAAATCCAATGTAATAGACCTGGCCTATCATATTGCCAAGGACACGGGAATGCAGGACGTGTGATTTATCGACCGCGATATGCCGACCGGGAATCGCAGCACCTTATCTATCGAAAGCTCCTATCAGATATCTGTCCGTTCTCTTACTCCTTCCTACTTGGCTCTATGCCACTGGATCGCGGGGTAGGGAGCCTCAAAGATGCCTTTTCAGGACTGCCCTCCAGATACTGCTGTCACATTACATAGCAGATGTCTTTTGAAGTGCCTTTTGAGGAAGGCAGTACTGATGCTATGAATTGCGGTTGTAACATCACAAGGTAATTAAGGCGTATTAGGAAGGAGGAACTTGGCAACGACTGGTGTAAGGCGTGACTCCATTTTGGACAGCGACAATATGAGCGTGATGCTAAGCAAGATGCCAAGTATAAATAAGTGTGCACATTCTCATCCAGCATATCATTTCACAGCCAGCAGCATCACAGCCTCAAGTTACATCCCATCTTTTACTCACAACAATAAGGCCTCTTTTTCTCCCGTGTTATCTTCCGAAAGTCAGACATGGAGCTCTCTAGATACCTTGCTCTCCTGGCAGTCATCCTGCCCGTTGCTTACGGTGCTCCGACGCAGGCTGCGACCAGCCTTCACCCTAAGATCTTGGCCGCCATGAAGCGTGACCTTGGATTGGACGCCGAGGCTGCCACTGCTCGCGTTGCCTTCGAGCACGGTGCCACCGACATCATCGAACAGCTGCGCACCTCGACGGGCGACTCGTTCGCCGGTGCTTGGATCTCCGCGGACGGCACCACTCTTAATGTCGGTGTCACTGATGAGGGCCTGGCCGCTGAGGTGACCGCTGCCGGCGCTACGCCAGCCATCGTGTCTAACAGCCTCTCCAAGCTCGAACAGGCTAAGGTGGCAATTGACAACCTGGATATCAGCCAATCCAAGGCCCGCGACACGAGCTCGGCTGACTCTGGCATTGCATCGTACTACGTTGACGTTGCTTCCAACAAGCTCATCCTGGAGGCACTCGCCGGTAGTGTCGCTCATGCCGAGTCGCTGGCCACCCAAGTCGGACTCGCTGCATCCGACTTCGAGGTGCGAACTGTTGAAGAGATGCCGACCACCTTCGCGACAATCCGTGGCGGCGACGCTTACTACATCAACCGATCGGCTAGGTGCTCTATTGGCTTCTCGGTCACGACGGGCTTTGTTTCAGCTGGCCACTGCGGGACCGTAGGTTCTTCTGCCACCACTAGCAGCGGTGCGGCGCTCGGAAGCTTTGCGGGCTCGGTCTTTCCAGGCAGCGCCGATATGTCCTTCATCCGCAGTAGCAGCGGAAACACTCTCAGTGGCACCATTAACGGCTACAGCCGGGGCACCCTGCCTGTGTCCGGTAGCACTGCAGCCGGCGTCGGATCCAGCATCTGCCGCTCCGGCTCCACCACTGGTGTCTACTGCGGCACAGTTGGGGCCCTCAGCGCGACGGTCAACTACGCCGAAGGACGTGTCACAGGTCTCACTCGCACCAGTGTGTGCGCCGAGCCTGGTGACTCCGGCGGCTCTTTCTACTCCGGCGCTCAAGCCCAGGGTGTCACCTCCGGAGGCTCGGGTGACTGCAGTTCCGGCGGCACGACCTACTTCCAGCCGGTCAATGAGATCCTGTCGACCTATGGTCTTACGCTGGTCAGGTCTTAAACAGCTAACCGCGACGGCTGTCAGTACTGCTCAAGCTGTGTTACATTTTCTTTCGAAGTACATACGACATTTGAAATCCACCTTTGAATCTCTTCAAGTATTTAGTCTCTACTAGGAAATGAACATCCATTACATACTGCGTTCCCATCAATCTGAATCCATCCGTGGCTCCTCGTTTGATTAGTGCTGTTAAACCTTGCACAATTGTTTCAAGGACTACTACCGCAGAGGCTGTAGAGTATGTATATCAGTATTCCTACCGAGATGAGCTACAAGGCACGAAGATCTCAGTTGGTACTCAGTGGCGCTTTAAGCCATGGAAATAAACAGGTCAAGTCGGTCCATAATGCCTGAAAGTAAAAACCCAAGCGCGGTGTTGCTCATGTGGATAGAGGCCTAGCGCAGGAACCACGAAAAGAGTTACCGCTTGAGACTATGGAAAATATGTTGTGGATATGAATACGCAGAAAACAGAGGCAAAGGGCGACATGAGACGACGTAATGAAAAGAGTTTAGGGGCTTGGTTGTCTCCCCTCTCTCAGGCCTTGGTACATCATGACATCAGCTATTTCAGCTGAAAATATACAACAGCGTGCTTCTTTTTCTTCCCTCTTCTTGCTGGTACTCCATATTCTTCACTCTTTTCTGGCGGTTATCACAAGAAAATGTCAATCTCTTCTCATTCCACTAGGTCATATTCCAACCGTTCGCGTTTTGCTGGTCCTTTCAATAGACAGTCGCACTCGTCATGTGCCAAAAGTTACGCAACTCAGCCCGGACTCAACGCCGAGGCCATGAGACAGACGATCCACAAAATCGATCAACCGGACCTGTAGCTCTGTGTAGTACAGACCGAATGACGCCACTGGTGTCGTGGCCAGCGCCGACTGGCCTCACGCTCCGCCCCTTATTCTGGCCTGAGGCGTAGTAGGTCCGTCATGTCACTCGTTGCTCTCGGTTGATGCCCCGGCCGTCACGATTCATCCCTTGCAAATCAAGAAGTAGCTGTGAATCTAAACTGGCCGTAACATCAAGAGGCGCAACTACTTGACCCTGCAGGCTGGGGGCAGGCTTGTGCAGTTTCAGATCCACCGTCAACCTCAAGCTTAAGCGATGCTGGCCTCGACATTGCTCCTCCTCGACATCGCTCCCGCAGCTGCTGATAAATCCAGTACGAGTCACCCTGCGGGGCTTGGATCTTCACAGGCTCCTCCTGAATGTCTCACATTGAGCTTTTGTCGGCTCTTGGCAAGGTTGATACCCATGAAATGTGAGTATACTCTGTTTCTTGCCTTAGCATGGACAACGCTTGTGGTAAATCGTTCATCATCGCAGGTGCGTGGACAGCCCAGGTGCCTTCCATATCTGGCATATGAGCAGAAGCATCTGAATGGAAGAGTAATGACTTCCGACCGTCGCACGTGAACTGGGCCTAGCTAGATAGGTTGGTGGGCTCCTGCCTTTTCATGTTATAACTTTGGCTGATATGTTGCGGTGAAAAACGGATGTATGACTACAAGAAAGAGTGAATGATACGCAGCAGTCATATTCGGGGCAAAACTGGACTAATGGCAGCTTGTCCATTCGGTTACTTTTGTTCGTGGTGAAATTCTTAACATGAGCGATGGTCCCAGCTAGAAAGTCACCAATTTTCATTTTTCCAGGAAGTTTACCCAAGTAAGACTGACCAACACCTTTGATGCCTATGGAGTCAAAGTCTCTCACATGCGTCACATAATAGAACCTACTCTGGCTCTGTCGTTCGAAGCCTTTTCTATTGTCCTTTGGCATATAATCAAGTTCAGTCCCGTCAAGTATTATATACAACTATACCCTATTAGAAAACTCAGGATCCCGTCTAGGGGACTTATTGGTACTATATTGGTGTGGCGGCGTAAGGCCTTGGTCCCAGCCCTAGAGTGTTCCAATTGCCTATTTAAACCATAAGTCAAAGCACCTACTTTCTAATCACCCCCACATTGCAATCATACATATCCACCTTATATCTACCCCTAGCTACTACTAACCACTATATATATATTATTACTACTTTTATAGTTTTTATCTAAATAACTTTATTTTTTTAGTATCTATTCTTTATTACCTTATAGTTAAATATACTAAGTTAAAAATTACTTAAGTAATAAATACTATTACTACTAGTAGTAGTATATACTAAGTATTTAAGACCTATAGTATCTTATTTACTACCCTCTAGAACTATTTATTTAGTACTTAAAAGAAAGCTAATACCTTTAAGAACCTCTAGTAACTACTAGCTACTTAGAAGGCTAGCCTAGCTAGTTAAGTAACTACCTAGGTTAACCTTAGGCTATTATTAACCTATTAATAACTAAAGGACTTTACTTATTATATTCTTTATACTATAAGAGATACTTAACCTTTAGGTAAAAGGTAAATAAATAGCTTTATTTAAAAGAACTTATTTATTAAGGTCTAAAGAAGTTAATTTATTAATTTAAAGTATATTAATAAAGTATTTACTAAGGTTATTAAAGACTAGTTTAAATATTTTACTATACTTTATATTTAAGCTATTAAACTAGCTAATAAATATAATATAGATAAGACTAGTATTCTTAAGGGTAAAAGTAATAATAAGCTAGTACTAAATAAGGCTATAATAAAGATAATAATAAAAAAGTAGCCTAAATTATAAGCCTAGGTATTTATTATTAAGTATATATTTACTAAAAGTATTCTTATTTATTTTTTAGTTATATATAAAAGTAAAATAGTCTAGTAATAGTAGTTCTTTTTTAATTTTACCTTATATAATAAATAAAAGTTTATAGTAATAAAGAATAAATAAACTACTAATAATACTATTATTAAATAGTTATAAAAGGTCTTTTTTTTTAGACTAAGCCTTTTTAACCTAATTAGGCTAAACTACTTATCTTAGATAAGTATAAAAGCTATATAATAATAGATTTTATATAAATATATTATACTAATAATATTTATTTATTATTTTTATTATTATATACTTTTTATATTCTTTAGCTACTTAACTAGTTAGTCTTTAGCCTTATTAAAGTAGTATATTAAAAAAAGCTTAAATATTTTAGTTAGTAAATTAACTTTACTATTATAAGTAAAAAAAACTTTTTTTTTTACTATTAAAAGGCTTATTTAGCTAGTCTAACTATTAGTAATATTAAAAGTAGCTAAAAATATACTAAGTTATAGCCTATTAGTACTATAAAGCTACTTATAAATAGGCTACTAGTTTAAAAAGTAATATTATTATTAATAATACTATTAATACTACTTAAAGTAGCTACTAAAGATACCTATATAGCCTAGAATACTTATAATATAAAAGAATAAGTATTAGCCTTATCTATAGTAAAGTAGTCTATACTAAAGAAAATAAAAGACTTTAGAGACTAACTATAGCTCTTTAGCTAACTAAAATAAAATATTATTATATAATACTAACTATTTAAAAAAGTTAAAAAAGGCTTCTAAGAAAAGTCCTATAAGCTAGCTATTACTTAGTAAAAAATTAGCCTTCTAAAAGCCTAGGTTACTAATAGTATATTTAAAAAATAAAAGGCTATTTATATAAATACTAATATAAAGTTTATAATAATTAAAAAGGTATTATAAGCCTAGATAAAGGTAAGTAAGGTTAAAAGTAATATAGATAAATCTAGTATATCTAAATTACCTAGTAAGGCTAAAAGTTATATTATTATAGTATTTAGATAATGTTAGTAGTTAATTAAATAAGGTAGTAGTTATTATAATAGTGATGTTTTTGGGTGATTGTAATGTGGGGGTGATCAGAAAGTGGGTGCTTTGACTTATCCATCACGAAGACTTTCTGCAGTTGATCTCCTTGCTCCCTTACGAGATATACTGCAACTTCTTCGTTCTATAGTGCCGATCAGTAAAAAAGTCAAGCTGGGTACTTTTGCAGTTCCTTCCGATACTTGTGAGACCTGCCTTGGTGATGCCTGGAACGTTATCAAAAGGTTGCGAAAGCCAACGTGATACGTGATAATCACCTCACTTGAAATATAATTCGCCATGTCTACTTGTGATATTCGAGGGTGAGTTACTCCAGGGCGTAGTGGTTTCCATCAAGTCTATCTAGAAATGATAGTTAGCATTTCACATACTTAGAAACTCTGTTCCGCTACTTAAGCAGCTAAGGGCCGAGTATCCAGTCTGTTCGCTTTATACTAGATGTCATGGATCATTGGATGTCGTGCGGTCATGTGTAATCGCTGTTCCAGCAAATATGAAGCTAAAAGGAGTATGAGAGTAAAGTGTCTGTCGTATAAGATAGTGTATTTCCGTAACTATGTTTTCTTACATTCCTCAATATAATTGTCTTTTGTATCATCGAGAATTGCTTATGAGATCTCGTCGCTTCAGTCCCGCTTCATGATCCGCATACGTAAGCCGCCACTCTCGCCTACATCGTATACACCGTCCATGACTAAAGTCATCTTGGGAACGCTGTTTTGCATCATACCGTCCAATCTCTGCTCCATAGCTCTCTTGTCCTCTCCAGGCAGCGCAACGGCCTGAAGGCGGTGATGATGAAGCAGCTTCAGCATGACTGCCGCGAATTCGACTTGTCCCATCTTCTGTCCGGGGCAGACACGAGGACCGTACCCCCACGGAATAAAATAGCCTTTCGGAGGTTGAACTAGTGTCCTTCCGGCCTTGCCGGTGTTGTCGATCCAACGCGAGGGGCGGAAACGGCATTCGTCGGGAACAGTTTCGCCGCCGGTGCTCTCCTGTACGAAGGCTGGGTCGGACTCGTGGTTGTTATCGCGCCATGCTTTGGGATCCATGTGCAACGCGATGTTGTCTATGAGTACAGTGGCACTGGCCGGTAGCAGAATGGTGCCGTTTGACACGTCCAACTTCTGCGCCGTCGGACTCGTCCGAATCACGTGGACCGTGGGCGTGAAGAGGCGTAGCGTCTCAAGCATGACGGCCATGATGCGCCTAACTTTTGGAAACACGGCAGCGTAGTCGGGTTCCAGGCCTTCTTCCGCGAGGCTCATCAGGCTGTCAACCTCGCCGAAGAGCCAATCCTGCCATTCCGGATACCTCGCGAGCAAGACGAGGGCGTAGGTAAGAGTGTTGGCCGTTGTCTCGAAACCGGCTGCGGTGAAGAGGAACAAATTCCCCTTGAGCTCCTCCTGGGTCAGGCCGTCGCGCGCGTCGCCCTGCGTCGCGGAAGCTCGCAATAGGTGATTCATAATCGTAGCCCTGCCCTCGGGGCCCATGGCATGTCCATTTGAGATGCGTCGGCGTTCCTCGTCGAGCAGGGACTCGGTGTGGATCGGGAATTCGCGCTTGCCGATTCCCAGCTGCCTCATTCTCTGATGACCGGGTAGCCACGACGGCCAGTTCAGGAGCACGGGGTTGGGGATGACGATGGCACCAGTGCAATGCTCCATGACTACTTTGCAGGCCTGGATGTAGGTCATCTGGAATCCAGGCTTGGGCCTCTCGCTTCTTTGGTGCCGCCACGGCGCAACCGCGCCCATGCCTGCCTCACTGAGGACGTGGATAGTGATCCTCTTTATATTGTCAAATAAGGCCGTGGATTCGGCAACGTTTGTCTGGCTCTTTTCTGTGCCCTCGATTGAGAATAACTCCCCGAGCATGCCTTCCGTCTGGCGGATGGCTGAGTCGAAGATGGCCTTGGAAATGCGGTCGTTGATGACGGCTGCCACGACCTTGCGCTGCCTCGCCCATCTCTCACCGTTCGTAGTGAGTACGTTAGGGCCAAAATGTCCCAGGAACAGGCCGGTCAAAGCCGGCATGTGGAAGTCGCCGGTACGTCTCAGTACCTCGGTGGCGACAACGGGGTCGGCGGTCCAGAGCTCAACACCCCCAGCGCTGGCGACCACCAAGGTTCTGTGCCCGCCCTTTACGGCTCCATATTCATCGAATGGGCGACGCCTTTCGTAAAACTCCCATCCGTATATGGTGAGCACCAAGCGCTTCCAGACACGCGTGGGGATATTCCGCTTCAGCCACGGGCGCAAGGGGACTGACACCAGAATCCAGAAGAGGTTGTTTGGGTCTACTGGGTATACGAGGACCGGGAGACCGGTGCTCTTTGCGGCTACGACGTTTGATATGAACCGATATGCGGCAGTAGATAGAAACAAAACCCCCAGAGAAACGATGGTGGTGAGGATGAGCGCCATTGTTCGCGCGATGGTTGGATGACACGACAGCTTAGACGCAGAACATTTCGCGAACCATGATACTATGAGAGTATGAGACCTTGGCGTAAACAAGAAGACTTTGCAGGTTATTTCTTGCCAGAAACCCTCCACACGCCACGGCTTCGGGCCGACTGCAACGGAACAACCTTGCGCAGAATACTTCGTAATCGCGAGCTACGTTGACAATACCTTGTTTTCCTGCGAAGGATGCACAGCCCTGCACCCAGCCACCATCACAAGAGCTGCAATGACCAAGTTGGGGAGGTGGCACCGAATCCATCATCGGGATGATGCGGGGGCATGTATAAATATTGCTGCGTGTTGTGATTACCTGTGGAACGTGTGCCGGTCGTCACCGAACTCATCCTCCGGATGCGGGCAAGCGGGGACATGTATGGATCTTGCTCCGTGTTGCGCTTACATGTGGAGCGTGTGTAAGCCGGCGTCCCGGATACGGAATGACTCGTGGGACACGCATTTGGGTAGGTCACGTACGACGATTAATAATACTTGGTATGTCTGCCTTGCACCCAGAGTAGTGCAGGGGTCAAAGCATCCTCCACTACGACGTATTCCCAACTAGGCCATCTGCTCATCGTCCATCACCAGCCCGCCCTTGTCCGGATACATTAACTGTGGCCCGAGGAGGCTCTTACTACGCGTATTACAATTGCCTCTTGAGGCGACGGTTCTTCCCGCATCTCCCCACTTTATTAGGCAGCCTTCACATTGACCGGTGGCAAGATCCACACATCTGGCTAGGGGTAGAAAATCGGTGCTGATTGAATTGGACCAAAACAAAAGGTCAATTTGATCGTTGCTAATGATGATGCAGAAGGGAAAACACCCCCTCAGTGCTGACTGTCAGGTCCTGATTTTATGACCCATTGGTACGTACCCGTACCTTCCAGGGGTGGACACGACTTTACAGGCTAAATTCTAAAGTGCGGCTGATTAGGTACCGTATCCTCTGAGCAAATTGGCCAACCGCTAATTTTCAGGCCAACGGCAAAGAGTATCGCGGCCACCAGACAAGGGCTAGCGTGCTGACAGAAACAGGGATCTAGAAAGGCAAAAGCAGGGGACAGTCATTTACGTCAGCAGGAAGTTAAGGCGTAAGAACAGTAAATAAAGGGCAAGTAGGCAAGTACCGGTAGGTAAATAGGTAGGTAGGTTAACTGTTTTCTATGATAGGTTTAGCGCTGTGAGCGGCCACTCTCCCCTTTGCCGTTAGCCTGAGAATTCGCGGTTGGCCAATTTGCTTAGAGGATACGGTACTGTATCCTCTTAGTAAATTCGCCTATAGCTAATTGACGAGCTAACGGCAAGGGGGAAAGTGGCCGCATATAGCGCTAAGCCTATTTAGGAAAGTAGTTAGCCTATTTACTTATCTACCTACTTGCCTACTTGCCTACTTGCCTACTTGCTTACTAGCTAGCTAGCTTATCTACTACAGTTAACTTTGCTAACCTACTAACCTACCTACTAACCTACTATAATATTTATAATACCTAACTACCTACTGCTAAGTAAAATTAACCTAAATATTTTACTACTATTACATAAGAAGATAAGTAAAAAGCCTACCCCTATTATTAAGTAATAATATACACTAAAAAAAACTACTTAATAAGTTAAAAGGTTATATAGGCAGTAAAAGTAAGTTAATATACTACTATACCTTAAGTACTACTATTACTTACTTTCTCTTAGCTAGTAATATTACTAATAGCCTAGTAATACCCCTCTTAACTTTACTAATAGCCTCTACTACTTAACCTTTTAAGAGGCTACTAACTACTTTAAGATACTTATAAGAACTATTAAAGATTAGTATAACTAATAGTATATAATTATTAGCCTATTAGTATATAATTATTACTTAAAATAGCTAGTAATAAAAGCTAACTTATATAGTTACTTTTAATAATAATAAGCTAGTAATAAGGTTATTATAACTAGATAGTTTAAGTAAGAGGCCTAAGCCCTTTTTATAGCTAACTATCTTAATACTTTTATTACTAGTAACCTACCTACTTACCTTTTTTAATTTTCTATAGGTTAGTTTAGTAGTTTTATTATATAATAGAATATTTTATACTACTAGATTATAAAGTAAGCCTTAAAGCTATTTACTAAATACTTTACTATTATTACTAACTTTTTTTACTTTAACTAATAGGTTAGTTAGCCTTTATTTACCTATTAGCCTATTAATAGGCTTTAATTTTTACTTAACTATATTATTAACTTTAATAAGACCTTTATCCTTTTTAAGTACCTTAATAGCTTAACTTAGGTAGCCTAAGGGGCCTATACTATAGCTAGTAAGACTAACTATAGTAGCTAAAGTAAGTAGTAAGCTACTTTTATTCTCTATATTTTTACTAATAAGGTCTAATAGCTACTACTAAAGCTTATTTTTTATAGTAAGCCTACTAGCCTTAGTAGCTAACTTAATATATATAAAGATAACTTATATAGTAAAAAAATAATAGTTAAATATAATAATATAGTCTATAATAATAAGTATTTTCTTAAGTAGTAGCTAATAAATAAATTTTTTTTTTTATAATAAAGTAAAAATACTTATTAGTTATAAATATTACTACTTTTTATAAGACGCCTACTATACTATTATAACTTTAATTTAACTATATAATACTTAGCCTTATACTACTAAGTATAACCTTTTTTTTTTAACCTCTAGATATTACTATTAATAAGCCTTTTAAGTAGTAGTTATCTAAGGTAACTAATAAGTATATATAGTAAATAAAGTAAGCTACTGCCTACTAGCCTAGCTAGCTTATTTAGCTACTTTAACCTATTTAACTTATTTAACCTAGCTAGCCTAGTTAGCCTAGCTAGCCTATTAAGTAGTCTATATTAATAAAATATATAATAGTTACTTATACTATTATAATAGCTACTTATTACTTAGCTAAGAAAAGTAAAATAGTCTAGTAATTTTTTCTTTAGTATAAGATTAGTAGTAACCTAGATAAAAGTAATATTAATAAAATTTAGATTAAGGATATATTAAATAAAAAGATATTATAAGATAATTAAGATAACTTTAACTATAATACTTATATAAAAAAAAATTAATATAAGAAGAGATATCTAATGTTAATATAAATAATAACTACTAAAAGTATATATCTCTAGCTAAAGATGTCTAGTAACCTATTAAAAATAGTTTAATAAGGCTATAGGAGATCTAGAGTAAGAGGAAGAGAGAAAATCTAATGTTAACTATAAGTCTGTTTACTAGCCTTTGCTACTTAACTTGCTGCTAATGTATATGACTAACCCCTGCTTTTGCTATATCTAGATCCCTGTTTCTGCTAGCACACTATACCTCTCACAGCAGCCGCAATACCCCTTGCCGTTAGCTTGTCAATTAGCTATAGGCGAATTTACTGAGAGGATACGGTAGGTGTTCTGTCACTCGCTTAACTCGGACCCCATAATTATCCGAGATAGCCTGAAACAGCTAGTGACCACCGATCCGACTAGGCCTAAAATGGAAGGTGGTCTGCGATCCCCTACTACCATCATCTCCTTATCCACCACTATTATTGTTGACCCACCACTTGTAACCGCTTACTCTGCTCAACATTGCCAAGTTAACCGCTAGCTGCTCGGCCGAATTGAGCGAGCAGATAGCTGAGTGAGTAGATACGGCAATAGTGGGCTGCTCAAATCCCAGGCTGCACGTGGTCGAAAATGACACGCACTGACTCCACGCCCTCCCGACGCTTTACAGTGACCTCGGGGTCACGGCGCATCGCCGGTAAGCCCAGCATGGTCTCTTTGTGCTTCGGTAACACCCCGGCCTCGAGCTCGTCGCCGCTGGCAGGCCTGATTTCAAATGCCAGCAGAGTCTTGGCCACCAACCCGAGCGTCATGTTCAGCGCGAGGTAGCGCCCTGGGCACTGGTGCATGCCAGGCAGCCCAAAGACGTTGAGGTGCTTGACGAGCTCCTTGTCCGGCTGCCCTTTCTCTCCAAGAAACCGGCTCGGCCGGAACACGTCAGCGTCGCTCCCCCAGATGGCCTTGTCGAAATTGTGGAGGTGGATAGGGGTCATCACGATGGAGCCCTTCTTGAGCTGGTACTTGCCGGCGAAGAGGGCGTCCTCGTACACGCCTCGCGTGACGGGCGCGTCCCCAATCGTGCGCAGCAGCTCGTACCACGTGGCCACGAGCAGCGGACAGGAGCTTCGGATGCGATCGACGTCAATCACCAGGTTGGAGGAGGACGAGGGCGATTTGTCTTCCGCCAAAGCATCCAGCTCAGCCACGATCATCTTCATGAGCTCCGGGTCGCCCACAATGTTACAGAAGGCCCGTGTAATGAGGTTGATCACGTTGGACATGAGCCCCACGATGGCCACCAAGTGGCAGTCGGTAAATCCTTCGCGGGGGACTTCCAGGGACTCGTAGATCCTAGCGAGATGACCGAAAAGAGTGGTTTTCTGTGCGCCAAGCTCGCCGTAGGCCTCCTCTCTCACGGCGTCGTCGATTTTGTTACGCACATACGCCCGCGCCAAGACGAGCTCCGACGGTATCAGCCACGGGATTGGATTGCGCAAGTCCTCTAGACTTTGGATGAACAATCTTTGGCAAGGGGGGGTTAGTCTGAGTCACACCATCCGCCTTTTGGGGTTTTCGGGATGTGACACCCACCTTAGGTGCGTCCGGAAGTCTTGCTTTTGGAAGGGTCCCGCCCGACCCCAGAAGACAGAGCCCATCGAATAGGAGAGTAGGTCGAAGACCCAAGCTCCAACCCGTGCTCGGCTTGCCGGGTCCTGACCCGTTCCGCTTTCTTTCCAATGCTCTTCGACCTCTCCGTCTAGCTGGGACGCGTACGCCTTGAGATTCTGCAGGTTCCTGAGCTCGCCGTTGAACAGCTTCGACAGCTCCCGCTTGAAGATGCCGGTGTCCGGGTCCGTGAGAAACTTCTCGCTGGCCGGCACGAGACCCATGGCGGGCCCAACAGCCACGTGAAACACGGACATCAAACTCAAGCACCGCATGCTGGTGAATGCCTTGATACTGGCGGTATCCAAGGGATGCAGTAGGTGAATATCCTGGCCGGGCAGCTTTATGGTTGCTATCGGCGAGCGTTGGGCCGCGCTGAAGGCATCGGTGTGAGCCTAGGGCGGAAAGGATACACAGTACACTGCGGTAGCTAGCATTTTACTCACCATAGTGACGAGAAGTATAGGTTGGATCCCTTGGTTGCGATATGATAGATGTGCCCAATGTACGGGATCCAAGAATAGAGCACGGGAGGGGGGCTTCCCGGTGTGACTGATGCATCTTGCGGGTAGTTCCGGCGTGCGAGCACACGCGCGAACACCCACGCCGCAACAAGAGACGCCAAGAATTTCGCCATCAGTTGGAACTCCATGATAAGCGTGAGAAGCTGAGAGATGCTGGCTGGGTGGTCGGAGGTCCGTTGATGTTGAGTTGTTGAAAGACCAAAGAGATGGCTAGGGGGGAAACGGAAACGCCAGAGCCGGTAAATACTAACTTGTTTGCGCTCAAGTTCGGCTCTAGACCGAAATGGCATTCTTATTGTTATCTGTCTATTCTTGGTATGCATCAGAAACCGCAACAATGAGGGAGTTCTCGTGGGTCGTGTATCGGACCCACAATGCTGCATCCTGTACAGACAAGCATTTACATCCCAAAGTAACCCAAGGCTTATGGTAGGAATAGCATGAAGAGGGGCAGGCTAGCTGCCTACATCACCAGCTGTGGCAGTTGAAGACTGGGCCACTGATGGAATGATGATGGTCAGAAGCGGCCGGGTTCAAGACCAGCCAGGGGCTACTCGCCCGAGTGAGTTTACATGTCCAGCTACTAGAGCCTAGACGATAAAGCTCTTGTATCAACGGCCTTCCCTCCTCATCCTACGCACTTGGCCCCCGTTATCGAGCTCCTCAAGTCATCTTGTGATCCATCCACGTATTTACAAGTAGTGAGAAAACCACCCGGGACAATGGTATCATTCCTCTTTGCGGCAATCGGCGTTGCAGCACTTGTCGGTCTTTGTCAGGTTCTGTACAATATCTTTTTCCATCCACTACGAAACTTCCCTGGTCCTTTTCTAGCGGGGGCAACCTCGGGATGGAAGGCCTGGAAAGAGGTCGTTCTGAAGGAGACTTTGGCCCAGGAGCTCTTTGATCTTCATAAGAAATACGGTATGAGCCCCTGATGAGAAGGTGTCAACATGGGCTGACACGACATGCTTGGTTGCAGGTGATATTGTTCGCGTCGCCCCAAACGAGGTGAGTTGTTCCCATCAAGACACCCGTGACAAACCGCTTACTGTATATCTTGGACAGCTTCACTTTGGAAAAGCATCTGCATTCCACGATATCTATCACGGTAGCAAGAGATGGGATAAGGATCCAGGCCTCTACAGTACGCCCGGCGTCAAGACCGGGTCGTTTGTGTTCCTCAAGTACGCCCAAGCAAAGGAACGAAGGGAGGTCCTTCTACCAATGTTTTCCAAGAAAGCCATCCAGGACCTCGAGCATCTCGTCTGGCGAAATGTGAGTGCCTAGTGCAATAGTAAGTCGCTCCAGCCCGTTCTAACCAGCAGGGCCACCCGGCCCCCATCCACAGGCCAACCGCCTAGCCTCCTCCATAACCGCCACCGACGCGGCAAAGAGCTCCATCGACCTTCTATACGCGTTCCGCTCCTACACCCTCGACACCATAATGTGCTTCACGTTTGGCAACTGCGTCAATGCCGTCGATGCCCCCGGCTTCGCGGATCCCTTGATTCTCGCCATGGACGCCAGCCTGCGCATGCTGCCCATCCTCAAAAACTTCCCCTTCGTCCGCAACCTCATCTACGCCGTGCCGCCCGCGTTCGCCATGAAAGTCATCCCCAACGCCGCCCGCCTCGCCCCGCGCCTCTACCAGGTCCGCGACCTCATCCAGAGCCAGCTTCACGCGGTGCTGCAGTGCCCCTCCAAGCTCGACGACGTACCGCACCAGACCATCTTCCACCGCATGCTCGACCCTAAGGCCTATCGCAGCCGCGCCATACCGGACATGACGGCGCTGCATGACGAGGGCTTCACCCTCATCTTCGCGGGCGCCAACACTGTTGCAGACACGCTACTCATGGGCCACTGGCACACCATGCGCCGTCCGGAACTGCTCCGTCGGCTAAAGGACGAGCTCGCCACCGTCTGGCCCCACCCCGAGACGAGCCCGCCACCAGCGCTGCGCGACCTGGAGAGGCTCCCGCTGCTGACGTCGACAATCAAGGAGGCGCTGCGCTTCATTCCCTCGGGCGTATCACTGACTCGGGTTGTGCCGCCGGCCGGAGCCGTCATCGCGGGCAAAGATATCCCCGGTGGCACCGCCGTCGGCATGGCAATTCTCCACGTCCACATGGCTGGTGAGGTCTGGGGTGACGACGTCCTGGAGTTCAAGCCGGAGCGGTGGCTTGACGGAGCGAAGCAGGATCTGGACCAATGGCTTGTTGCCTTCAGCAGAGGCCCGCGTATGTGCTTCGGGATCAACCTGGCCTGGGCAGAGCTGTACATCGCCTTCGCGACGATGATTAGGCGTTTTGACCTGTCCATCGATGGGACAACGGCCGAGGACATGGAGTGGCGCGAGTGTATCGCAGCGTATTACCCTCGGAGGCATCTTCACGCATGGTGCCCCCCAACTCAGTCGTGATCCCGTTTGGTTCGGGGAGCATGTGCTTTTTACTATTAACCGGGAAGACCAGACAATTGAACAATATGGCAGTTGATAGAAGTTTTGCTCTCGGTAATTCGAGCCCCCCCTACCTTTGCATTCTCCCAGTTGTACACCCACACACCTTAACTTTTGTGCAGTCATTCCCTTTGTCCTTATATGTAAGACGTACAAACTCGTACTGTTTGGCGAGGACGCGGAAAACCCCAGGCGCCGTAAAGCACCCGGGCTGACCGAGTGAACCCACCGTCGAAGAGCCATCAGGCACTTCACGGCGACCGAAGAAGTTATTTAAAGATTTCCTTAAGCCTGGAATAGTCGGACGACCACAGATGTCACCTGTAGCCAGTAGACGAGACTGGATTTTAGGCGCCCTTTGCACATAGGGACGTACCAGGCGTTAAATAAAACACACACACCTTTGTACCCCCCCACACCCCAACGTGTAACTCACAAACCCTTCAAGATTGAAACGGGGACCCTGGAGTTTATGATGCAGTGACGCTGGTAGAGCGAAATTCTGATGTTAAGCACAAATCCTCCAACCCAGCACAGACTGCAAAGCTCATGTTTGCGCAAGAAGACTACAGCCATCTCAATCGAGCTTGGCTGTAGACTATGGCCATCACATGAATTGATATCCAGCTAGTCATCTCCTGAAGCTCGTGCCCCCTTCTAGAGCTCATTATATGAGGTACTGTGCAAGTGTTAGCAAGTCATCGGGTCAAAGCAGTTCCTTCAACTCACGGGGATGAAAAGGTAGGGCACGTCCTTCTCGTAGCGCTTCCAGGCCTCGCCATACTTCCTTCGGCACCGGTTGATGTCTCTGTTGGTGCGGTGGATGATCATGACCATGAAGAAGACGAAGTAAAACCACGGGAAAGGGCTCCTTTTTTCAAATCTTGTTAGCGGTCTTTGTTGATGTGTCCAGCAGACCAAGCAACAACTTACTTGAAACCAGTAATCATACCCCAGGCGAAAGAGAAGAACATGTCGGGCACATAATTCGGCTTGCGGATAATTGCGAACCAACCATCCACCATGATACGGTCACCAGCATCAGTCTCGATGACTTTGGGGTTCTCGATAGCCTGCCAAGGCACCTGGGGGAACGTCTTGCGCTTGACGAGCTGACCCTTCTCCTGGTGCCGGAACGCGTTCTTTTGGCCATTGGCGCTATCCCACATCCAGTAAAAGAAGACGTAGGTAACAGTAAATGCTGCCAGGGCATAGGGGTTCCAAGAGTACTCAGAAGGGTCGTGATAAGCCAAGTACAAGGCGCAGTGGCAGTAGGTGAAGGGCACGCCGGCCATGTTCCAGAAGGTAAGTAGGAAACCAAGCTGTTCAAAGTACATATCCCTATGCAATAATTAGCCTAGCCCAAGGCTCTCGCTTGTTGCTTTCAACAACTACTTACCAGCTTGTGATAATCATCTGCTCAGCCTTGGCGCAAGCGTTGGTGTACAAATAATGCGCAAAGCCTAAGAAGACCACTTCTTTTGATATATAGCCATATATTTCATACTGCCGAGCACCTACAGAGCAGGTGATAAGAAAAAGGATGAACCATGGGATCCGGACCTCGTAAAACATCTTGAAGTCAAGAATACCAATGCGAGGATTCAGCTCAACACCCATAAAAAAGTCGTAAATAGGATACCCGGTAACTCTATGCGTACGTCCACGGAGAGTTGCTTGGAAGTATACGATAAAGCTGTTTAAGAAGCCAGACAGGATAGCAACTGTCATAATGGAGCCGAATTCGTCAATGAGAGTATACAAGGGAAAAACCTTTGTTATGTGCAACGTAGCTGCAATAACAAGCGTTGCGTAGAAGCTGGTGAATGCTGAACAGTAGTAAGGTAGTTTCTTGCCGCCTTCATGATGCAGCGGACGACCGTAATTCATCACACCTGGCATGTAGCAGTACATGAGAGCCTCGCCGATGAAGAAGACCCAGTAGGCAACCCAGGCCTTGGCCGTCGGGTAGGCTCCCTCACGGACGAGACGGGCGAGGTGAAGGCCAAAATCGGACCAGGACTGGCCGGGTTCTGGCAGAGGAAGTCGACCCTCGTAATATTCCGCGCCGATCCACATGTACCACATGATCAAGGGGAAACCGATCATCAAGCTCAGGGTGCCAAAGGAACCGCCGAACTCGAACTCGTCCGAGGCGCCTTCAGCCAAGGTGGCTACTTTGGCGGTCTTGGTCGTATCCTTTTTGGTCGCCATCGCCATCGCCACACCATTCGCGACGTCGTTCCTCGGTTTTACCGCCATGATACGCCGGAATTAACGTGGCCAGTAAAGGTCAAAGAGTGCTGCTGAGATGAAGCAAGAAACGGTGAAATGTGCAATGTTAAGATGGAAGTTTCCTCTCTCAGACAGAAGTAGCACACAGGCGATGGATAGATAAGTATGGAAGACAAAGAAAAGTGGATAAAGGAGCATGGAATGTTTGCTGTGGCAGTAAGATAACGCATCCTTGAGCAATTTTGTGCGCCAACATGTGTTGGATGCATCTCTCATGTAGCCTAATTAGCCGGCATCTACTTTCGGTAGGTACGTACCTGGCAAACACATGCAGCTCTCGTCTAGCACTAGGCGTACGTCGTACGGTTAGATTCGCTACGACGTTACACTAACTCAAACGGGTCGGGAGTACGGAGTATACGTACGGAGTACGGATACACGTACGAAGTACTACTAGGTATATGAAGGTTTACGACGTATGATGGGTAAGTTATACCCCCCCCCCCTCCTCCCCCACATGTATCAACCCACGGACCATGCGATAAATCTGGAGAGCTCCAGCAAAACTTTTGTGCAGTGATCCGTATACTCCAGTATTTTCTGTGCATCTCTCCTGCTTCAATCAGGTTGAGAAGTACCTAGATTCTGCCTAGGCCTGGTTTAGTATGGTAGATGCATGAATATGTGGGTCTAGTACATGGCAGGGTGATACCGTATAACTTTTGCCTGCAACGGCATAAGGGGTCACCGAAGAGTACCCGTAATCCCTGGTACGAGTGACGTACCGCTAGGCAGGGGCATAAGGCTTTAGCTTGAGGCTTTTCCCCACACACCCTGGGAAGCGAAATTAGAGCCAAATCCTCTCCGCCAATTAACCCTAGTCGTAGGGCTTCAAGAAGCTGACTTAGGCTAAGCCTAGTCTGTAATTGGCAGCCGCTGCCTGTGTCCTGTGCGAATCTATCCTTACCTGCCTCACGGACGAGTAAGCTCTTACGTCGTACAGATTCGATCCTCCGGAAAACAGCTAGCCTAATCACAGCACAAGCTGACCAACGTGCACCAGAGTGAGTGTGCAAGATGGGGTGTTCTATTGCAGGACAGAATGGGCACTATAATGTCGTCCGCATTCTCCTCGACTCAGAAGCAACACAACAAGCGACTCCTTCTATGTGGCTGAACCTACGGGGGAACTGGTTGTCGCTACTTACGGGTTTCACCTTCTTAGGGTTTGTGGTTACACTTTTAGCCTTTTTTGGTCTTGCTGAGGCACACCCTGACTGAGGGAGGCCGACCCACGGATGGCCTGTAAGGGCTAGTTCCTATCCTTTGACACCGCGAGGTCATAGGTGGGAGGGAAGGAAACGGATCCGACCATCCGTGCCGAGCCATGGACCAGGAGTGAAATAGAGGAAGCGGAAGTCGAGATAGATTGTGTTGCGTATGCTATGCGGAAGGTAATAGGTAGACGGGAAATGTGAAAGACTTTTATTAATATGTATTTCTTGTCCGATTGTTTCTTGATCTGTAGCTCCCAGGGCCGTGTCATGCCAGCATTCTTATTGAAAATAACACCAGCGCCCTTTTTAAGATCTGTTCCTTTATATCCAAGGGCGAAACTCTTTTGCGGGGCCCGTTAGTCTACTGAGGCTGATGTTGTATTTAACCATTCCGTGTCTGAGTCCAGGGCTTTTACCACAAAGTTTACACCATTAGTCTTTGAAGCTCTCGATGATGTCTTCAACAAAACACTTCGCGCGGCTCCTAGTCATCACTTGCTGTCTAGCCAACGTAAGATAGACAGGTGCCAGCGTCAATCCACTGATGTATAGTCAGCAGCAACCATGTAGTCTTGTAGACGGTGAGATAGTAACATATCGCCAGGATCACTGGTCACTTAGTATTGAGGCACTTGCCCCTCTTGGGACACTCCTTAGCAGGCTCTACTACTACGGTGTTGATGCCAGGCGGACATTCAAATGGGGTTTTCGAAAGGGATATTTGGGGCAAATCGTTGAATCACTAGTCTTCTCGAGTATAGGCACGTATGCGCTGCTGGTTCTAGTCCTCTTCTCGACCAGCAAGGCGACCAGATCACTATCACTGAGTAGGTGATTAAGGCGGCAGCGGAAAACGAAGAGAAAGGCAAGGAGATCATGACACTACTTCTCGACTAGCGAGGCGACCAGATCATGAGCATCTCATGAACGTGACAGGTCGGGAAACCTTACCTTGTATAGGAGACCGCTAACAAAAAGAGCGCCAATGCTTCCCCCGCTCGCTGCATAGAGCATTAGTAGTAAATGGTTTCGAATCCTTGCTCACTCATTTGGGACAGACAGATCAATCCAAACCGCCTGAATGACTCGGTCAGAGACTATCGGGCCAAGGTTGTACCTAGGTTTTTTGATGTCCTCAAGGACCCCTTCCTTCATTAGGATATTTCTCGGGACCTTCTTGCCCCCTTTAATTATATATAAGGGCAAGACACTCCAAGACCAGTGGTTCCCATCCATCCTATCTAGATATGATAGATGGCACTTTGCCCATATTGATAATGGCTGGACGACTGAGAAGACTGCCCTCTAGTGGCCGGAGAAGGTCTTCATCCCAGGGACTATGCCCAGCCAGCCAGAGGCTGCTAGACTGCTGGTTCTAGATGGGCACTATACCCATATATCGATTGACTTCATGTGGAAATGCTGGCAGCATAACATCTATCTGTTATTTCTGCCGCCGCACTCCTCTGCCGTGATCCAGCCTCTAGATGTGGCTATCTTCAGCCCATTGAAGCAGGCCTATCGCAGGGAGGTTGGATGTCTAGATGACTGGGTTACAGATTCAAATATAGCTGGGAAAAGGGCATTCTTAGAGTGTTATTTCAAGGCCCGAGAGGCTTCTATAACAAGTCTAAACATAAGAAGTGGCTGGAGGACAGCTGGATTATGGCCAGTTGCTATGAGGCGGCCTCTATCCAACCCCTTGGTATCCAAGGCATCATCCAGCCAGCCCAGAAGCCAGCCCAGCAGCCAATGGTGGCATAAAGCCGTATCTATCGTCCCATGGTCAACCCCTCATCGGTCTGCTGATCTGCGGCATCAATTACACCAGTTAACCCAGCTAGGCAAGGATAGGTTTAATACCTATACTATTTGTCACCTATTCAGAAAGGTGCCAAAGAGGTATGATGAGCAGGCATCTAGACTGGCCCTTCTAGAGAGGCAATTTAACGCGTTAAAGGCTCAGTTAGAAGACCAACAGTCACGCAAGAGGAAAACAGTCCCCCTATCGCCTAACAGCACCTTCGCCACTATAGAGCATATCTAGCAGGCAAGAAATACAGATGCCAGCAATATAGATAGTCCAGATAAGTCCAGCGTATCCTAATTATCCAGCAAGGCCGGAAGTTACATACAGGTAGGCAGCAAGCCTAAGGAAATAAGTGGTAATAGTAGCAGTGGTAGTAGTAGTAATGGTTTGCGCAAGGAGGGGTTTTATAGAAGTAAGGTAAAGTAGTTATTTTTATTACAATAGTATTAGTATTATCTTAAAGTTAACAAATAGTCAAGAGTGTGTATTAATCATACATAAAAGAGGGAAAAGAAAGAAGCTATCTCTAATAGCTAGTCTAATGGGGGATATGCGACGCAAGAGGATAATAGCTAAGTGTAGGAGACCTAATCTAGACGTTCTTATGGTTCCGGATACCTAACTTTATTATAATAAAAGTAATAAGAGGAAGTATCTAATAGTTGCTAATAGCTCTTAAGTAGCTTAAACAGTAGCACAGTTATAGCTCTTTACCTTGTTATTGTACCTAGTTACCCCAGTTAGCTCCAGCTAAAGGAACACCACAGTTTCCAGAGGGGAAACAATCAATAATAGTCTCTTAGCTAAAGTCAGTATTTGTTTATAATAAGTCTTGCAAGCTGAAAACTGTAAGCCTTAAAACGTACTGCGCTGGCCCTAAGGAGTCATATAGCGATAGTAGAAGCCCAAGAAGCCAGCGTTCTTGCAGAGGTAGAGACTAGGACAGCCCCTCTTTACATAAGCTTCTGTCTTAGGTAGTGTACTAGCTGTCTTGCCTTTGCCTAGCGGCTTCGCCTTTGACTAGGGATATGCGTTATTTGCTTAACCCAAGAGTTTGCTTAATCCCAGTGTTTACCCTTGGCTATAGTGCCTACAACACATCACTAGGTGTCCATAGGTCATAAACATAACAGTAGAGAAGTCCATTTCATTATAAGATAGCAGCTAGACTTTGCCTTTGTTATCAGACTACGTTTGTCGTTCTCTTGTCCTCATCTGCGCCACCTACCTCGCGCCGAAATCTCACTATTCCACAAGGCATAGATCTAGACACATCCCTGTCCCAAAGGTCCAATTTTCTAATCAACATTCATCCCCTGGTTCAGCCAAATTTCAAGGAAGCCATGCGCAGCATGCCGCACGATCGAGATCATGGCTTCGGTACACATGCTGTAGACTTAGCTCTCCATGTTCTGGCGATGAGCGCCATGATTTTGAAAGACCTCGCGACCAAAGCTGGTTCAGAAGCCACCGATTGAGAGGATATTAACAGGCTTTATAAACAATACAGCTATCTAAAGTTGGTTGAGGCTAGTCAAATAGTCAAGAATCCCATGCTTTTGTAGTAAGACGCTGAAACCTAGTCTTGAAAGCTGTCTCTCAAATTCAAGCAGAGACATCCTTGAGCAACTCATCAAGCTCCTGATTGTTTCTGAGCTCACTAGATGGTCAATTCATCGACGAAAGATGACTTGGGGTTTGTCAGTTGAGCAGGTAGGGGACAGTCAAAACTCCATCTGACGCTTAGATGCCGATGACATTCGGATGAACTTTGATTTTCCGTTTGGGATGGTCTTGCAACCTACCGCATGGAGCCACTTAATCTTCTGTCGGGTGAATGCTAGGAATCCTTTACTTCCATTACCTTAATTAACTTGTAACTACCTGTTCAAAAACCGCGGCTCGCCGGCCTTACGAAGAATAAACCATCATATCTTTAACCTGTGTACTTTAACTGCTTGCTGAAGTGCTACATTGCCTGCCTTTTACTAAAAATTCATGTTTTCCGGTTTCCCGCTCCTGAGTAGAACTGCCAGCCACCCACCATGCTATGACGCCAATGCCGGTAAGAATGGAGACGCCAGCCGCCGCAAGCCAGCCACCTCGAGAACCGGCCAGTGAATAATACCAACTCTGCGGCGACCCAGACCCCCTTGAGAACGTCTCCCCATCTCCTTCGCCCCCAAGAAGTATGCGCCGTTCATCCTGCTCCTCTTCATCCCCCAGCCGTGGCCCGAGTTCCGATTCAGAGGATTGGGCCCATGCCTGATCAGCGGCCAAGGAGAAGGAACGCTTGGCCCGATATTCCTGCTTAATGTAATTAATAGGGATTTCGGTGGTCCTGGGTCCTGGTCGGGCTGAGGAGTGCATTACCTGTAGACATTCCATTACGTCTCCCACGACGTGGTGGGCTGTCTGCGGAACAACACCTTGGGAGATGAGTGACCCGAAGAGGTGATTCGGGTGAAGCGAGTGCAGCTCAACACCATTCCAGTGACAGACGAAACCGACAGGCCCGTTCGGAAGCTCCACGTTACGGTTCTCGAGGTGCCGGAGAAGCCATTGTCGCACACCAGCCGAAGTTGTATGCTCGCTCGGGACGGTGTTTTTGGCATCTTTCAGATGCAGACTGGACCCGTCATCAATGCCTGCCATGATTCTTGATCCTGCTTTCTGTCAGGATGCAGCACCTCTCTTCTAGGTTTGCTTGTTGGGTGTTCGTTTTACGATGCCTTCCTGTGGCATGTTTGCCATTTGAAAAAGTTGTCTTATCTCTTAATTTGGATGTCGCCACGTAAATGCATTCATGCCCAATGGTCGACGTGTCAGGTGGATATTCTCCAACCACACGATGTGGATAGTTGCCAAAAAGTCATCTCACCGCCAGATTCACACGAGCCTCTCACAGGCCTCCGTCAGACCCAGTGTTCCAGCCAATCAGCAAGTACACCACTAGTTCTACAACTTGCACCTGGGCTGCATATGATGTTATTGGCGCCAAGGTTCCAACACTTAGGCTCCTCTTTCAATCATTCAAAGCAAACTAAGTAAAATCCTCTCTCGCTGCTGGAAAATCATCGCGGAAGTCACTGTGCCACACATGAGACAAGAATAAAGGAAAAAGCCTCTCAAGGTCAAAGAACCAATATCACGAGCAAAGTGCTACCTACGAGTAGAACGCATACTAATTCAGTTAGATTATTCTATGCGAGTGTTAATAGCAGCCAATGGTCAGATTGCCAGGAATTCGCCTACAGGCAATCATTGACTTTAAAAGTTCATAGAAAGGTCAGCTGTTTGTAGGCAACTTCAAAGTCAGCACAAGGGAAGCAATACTTTGCGGGGTATACCCTTCAGACTATTCCCTAATCTAGCAATCTCTACAGTAGTCCAAAGAGACAATGTTTGGAGTAGGCTTCAGCTGGCAACCATTCATATATAATAGTGACTGGTAACCTAAGCAGCATTTGCCGCTCCCTGCTTGGCGCCATCTACTGTGCCCTTTACAATGGCTCCCGCTACGTTGGCTGCGCCCTCTGCCCCACCCTTTATGCCAGCTGCAGCCTCTTTAGCAACCTTTGCTGTATCCTTTGCTGCGTCTTTAACACCATCTCCGACTTTGTCTGCAGCGTCTTTAACACCATCTCCGACTTTGTCTGCAGCGCCTTTGACACCATCTCCGACTTTGTCTGCAGCGCCTTTGACACCATCTCCGACACTTTGTCCAATGTCCTTAAACCCCTCTCCGATTGACTGAAATCCGTCTGTAATGCTTGGGTTGGGTGTGCGGCTGTCAAGCACAGTGCCTGTCAAACCAGTGCCACTCATTTCCAGAGGTGCTAAATAAGGGTCTTGTGTCAGTTTATCCTGTAGGCTTAAGTGGTATTCGGTGAAGGCTTACCTGCAGCGGTGAGGCTAGCAGCTAGCACAATAAGAATTATTTCAGGGATACGCATTGTAAAGTAGGGTAAGTTGGAATGAAGAAGACATAAAAGGACAGAAAGATTTAGTCTTTGTAAAAGAGACGTCTAAAGAACTGTTTACAAAACAGCAATGTTGATGGAAATAGAGGGGAATAGTCGCAGACTATAGGAGAAAGTAATAGATAGGTACCCTTAGTGTAAAGGGCTTATGTTCTCCAAGTGGATAAGCTGCAACATAGAGAAAATAGAGTTATTCTTATACTTAAGTAATTTAGTGTCTTTTATGTTTACCGTGTTTCAGTGCATGAATTGTCTAAGCCGCAGGACGGACATGAAACTGACAGTAACCGCCAATCAAACGTATTTCGACCAGATACACTCTGGTACCGCTAGTCAATTCCTTCTATCAAAGTCTAGATCTTGACTGCGTGAGAATCTTCGCTCGGCCTTCGCCGAATCTCGGTTGTGATCATTAAGGGGGAGAGTTTCAGGGTGATTCATGGGTGTTCGAGTCAAGAACGTTCGGCTTAGACCGAATCTTCGCTACAATTTCCCTCAATCCAGGCTCCTGCCAGGTCCGTGCCGCTATGCTAAGACGGTCGTTCATCCGAACGCAAACTAGGTTCTTTTTAAAAGATGTGGGGAAGGTACCTAGTTCAGGTTGTATCCGTACTGACAATGACAACCAGGAAGACCATGTTTAACCACTTAGCTTGGTCTTCCACTACTGCTTACGGAATACAGATTGAGACTATCTAGGTACGGATAATTGGCATGTTAAGTACGGCAAGCCCTACCGATTGATCCTGACAAGTCGCAACACTGGTAGAGAATGTACAAGTTTTGCTTCGTCCCAAGTGGCATATCAGAGAGATGGCATCACGAGGGAGACAAATTTATATGGTGTTAATTGTCAACCCTCCCCCTGATTCATCGAGCTACGCCAAGAGCACGATGTTTACCTGTAATTCTCTTAGTCCTTTGCTATAGCCAGTCCTCAGTAGGTAGGTAGATCTGATTCTTGTTGAAGTGTGGGCAATGGCATTGACCAATCAAAAGAGCTTGGGCAGCTCGGAGCAATCTTATCTGGCGCCCCACTATCTCCGTCTCGGATAATTGATTATCACATCCGAAAACCTTACGCGTCACGGGCACGCGTTCCTCTCCACTCTCATTCAATCTCGCTCACTCTCATCGACTCTCTCTGACTCTCATCGACTCTCTCCGACTCTCTCTGACTCTCATCAACTCTCTTCAACTCCCACCCATTCTCATACACTCCTAACCACCACCGCCCGCATTCCCTCAACATGTCGCCCCAAAAATGTCTCCAACAGCTTCTGAGCTGCGGCAGCATCTACCGGCGGCGCGGTAGGTTCACGCCCGAGGAGCATAAACGGATCACGGCAGCTTTTGCATCCTTGTCTCAGAACCTCGGCCTCATCGATCCCCAGACTAGGACCAGCTCCTACTTTCGACACAGAGTCTGTCAAGCATTCTTACGTGATATCGAACAGATAGGCGGCAGGGATCTTGTTGTGCTCTGCGCAGCCGCTCTGGGCCTCACGCAAATCGGCAAAATGACCAAGGGTCAGAGAACAGAGCTCACCGATCTCATCATCAGCCGACAGTCAGACATCGAATCGGCCGGCCTCGGTATGTGTTTTCCCATTTTCTGGGATGTTAGGGCATCGCCATGATGCAACCCGCTGACCAAGTAATGCACACGACTGCAGCGGCCATCTGGGAGGAACCACAACCGCTAGGCCTCGCCGGATCCGGGGAGCAGGCAGATCAACCGGCGCGCATACATACCTCCTCAACATCAACTACGCCTTCATCACCTCATGTCTCGCTTGCCGAACCTCTTGTTGCGTCCACGTCCCCAATCCACGGAATTCTTCGCAATGCGCCTGTCAGAGCGTCGACGCGTACGCTCCTGGCCGACTTTCTGCTCACACGGGAAGGGCCCCTGGCACCCGTCGCCGCCGCATTTGCCATTGCCATCCATCGAGCAGGCTGTATCGTTCGTCCAGGTCCGCCTCGGCACCCAAGGATTGGTGGGCCTGCGGCTATTCCGTTCCTGCTGCCATCCCGAGATTGCTGGTACCAAGGCCGCCCCCCGGACGAGGACTCTTACATGAATGACCTGCTCTTGAACATGGAGGGGACCCAAACCTTCCACAGAGGGGAGCAGCGCTCGCTTGCAGACAAACCCAACTATTGGTCTGTTCTGCGTCAACTCGATCAACCAGACCCTCGTCACACAGCGTGCATCATGAGCATCCCGAGCAAACTGCAGCTGCTACGCATTCCTGACATACTAAGGGCCGCGCCTCTACCCTGTAATGCCGCCAACCTTTTGACTCTGACAGACGTGACACCCAGGTACTCCTACATTGACCTCCAAATGGGTAAGAATAGCATCTGGCATCGACTTCTACCTTGACTGAGCCGGAGCTAACATATCCGACAGATCTTGGGAGTGCAACTATTATCGGGACCGCTGGTGGTGGTGAGAAGCTGATCGGACTCTACCCTCCGACACCACGTAACCTTGCCGTATTCAGCAGCCAGAAAGCCTTTGTCGATACGCATGCTCACCTCGAGAGGGGTGTTTTTATGGCACTCACGAGTGAGGAGTGCTGTTTCATTCCTGCTGGCTGGCTTCACACGTTATATACAACTGGTAGTGGGCCCACGGCCGTTCTGAAATGGCCGACGTCGGAATGTTTCTAAAGGTCTTTTTTGAAGAATCCACAACTTGCAGGTACCATAGCACTTATGCTTGTTAGCTGCATTCATCTGCAACTATGACGAAAACCAATCCAGGGACCATTGGACACAGGCTAGCGCGGCTAACACGGTTAACAGAGTATGCGATTATAGTGGTCGTATGATTAGGACACTACGGCCTTTTGCATGCTGAGGCAGAGATTGATTTGATTTGATTTAGTTAAACAAATATAAAAATGACTGTTCCTCTGTTCGTGGTAGGTGTAATAGAACGCCGTTGAATCGTCCGCCGAGTAAAGCCCGTTCTTATAGAAGCTAAACGCCAGAACGACATACACCCAAATGAACCTTCGTTGTTCTTACCCGCTATCAAGTGAGGGCTTTGCGTCACGAGATCAAACCCGAAAATCATGACTTTATCCCCCATACACTATGGTTGATGAATCCTTCCACTCAATTATTACAGTGTTCCGATTGGATTTCTGTGCAATTGATTATAACACTTAACTGTGCCCGTACATATCTTAATCTGATTAGGTATACACATGTATCTATCAAAAAAGTTGCCCCAGAATCGTCTATAACGGATAGTTCGTGTTATAGGTAGCACCCTTGCTGCCTTGGTTTTATCACTCAGCCTAGGATCATGTCTGCAGTATAGCAGCTCGCAATCGTTAATTTATACCAACGCTAATCGCAGCCAATGCCCAGTCCATGAATCCTGCATTTGTGTCCAGAATGTTTGTGTTGAACTCGGCCAGAGTTGGATAAAAGTTACCGGAAGGACCAAACTCCAATGTATATGCATAAACTTTGTTGACACCAGGTTTGGCCCAGAAGCGGGAAAAGGCGTAGTCGTCACTGGCACCAGACGTAGGATAAAGGCCAACGGCTTGAGAAGACGAGTATGAACGGCCACCAACTGCCTTCATGGCATCGATAGTGGCACTGGCCACAGCCCTAATGTTGGTGAGGTCGGCAGCCGGAATGTACTCCTTGTACGCAGAGTCGCCCACAGGGCCACGTTTCCCATCATAAGCAGAGTTGCGGAAGTTCATAGTAGAGATCGTCGTTTGATCGTCGTCATCGCCCCAACTGTAGAGAAGATCGCCGACGGCGGAATGAATGTCCATGAACCACCTGATATTAGGAAACGAGTCATAGACGGAGACAAGGTTCTTGGTCTCGGGCTCCGAGGCAGCAGCAGTACCGTAGAAGGTCTCTGAGCTCGGCGAAGTGGATGCAGGTGCCTCAGAAGCGTCGAAGTACTTTTTAAAGCTCCAAAGAAAGTCAAAGTTGCGATTGATATCGACACCGATGGAGTTACCACTGGAACCAGATTTTGTGTTTCGATTCTTTCGCCAGTAAGACCCAGAAGATTGGTCGTAGGCTACGCCGTCCGGGTTCACAAGCGGGAAGAAGACGATACCGGCAGCAAGAACGCTCTTCACTTGGGCATTGGTGTAGGTCTTCCTGCCGTAGGTCAGACCACTTCCAGACTTATTTGCAGCGAGCAAATCCGAGACCCAGTAGATGATGTTGTCCGGACCACCCCGCTCGCGGGCATGCACTCCAGCACTGAAGTACAAATGGTACTTTGACTTGTCGGTTCCAGCCCCGGCGTAGTAAGCGTACTGAGAAGCGCCGTTAAAAGTATTCGAGGGCAGAGTGATTGAACCGATTCCGTAGTTCTTGACAAGGGCATCGGCGGCTGACTTAATCTCAGCGACGTTCATGATACTGGCGATAGTCTTCCCGGAAGGTTGTGTTCCAAGGCCAACCGGCGAAATGCTTCCAGCGCTAAAGCGGTCGCCAGTGCCAATTGGAGCAGTGGCCCTCTTGTACAAATCCCTCTTGTGAATCGAGATATCCGGCACCAACTCGTACTCCTTGGACAGATACTCTATGTGCTCCTCAGTCAGCCAAGCATGAAGTCTGTAGTGGCTGCCATCTTCGCTTGGTTTAGCAACAGCTCTGCAGCCGAAGTCGTATGTATCGTTGCGAACTATATCCCTGCGTAAGGTCAGTCATTGTTTCATTTTCTATGGAAGGTAATCTTACCTGAAGTGCGATGGTGTTGGTGCTTGGAGATATACAGGCAGTAGTTCTGCAAGCACAACGCTGCTCTGAATAACCAGAGACGCGATGAGAGAGTACTTCATGGTGAACTGGCGGGCGGAGGCGATGATGCGAACGATCAAAACACTTCGCTGTCTGCACAAAATAGAAGAACGTGTCTTCGTTCATGGCGTTCTCGTAATATCTACTAAAATCTGTTGTCACGGTCGCAGGGGCTACTTCTGGCAACTGGCTAAACTGCCAACGTAAATACGAGTCATTATTGCTAGTGTGGCAGGGGCTTTCATGCCACCTGCCAAAGAGGGCATAACGCAAATCGCTATCAGCCAGTGGGTGAATCATCTTTTGAACCGTACCAGGCATTTCACTGGAAGGCAAAAAAAGCATTGCTCTACTGGCTGCTAGCCTAAAGTACAATACCACCTTCCTTTTAACCATTTAATGCGATCGCTGAGCAACTTCTCTTTATGCTGGTCATTCCCGATGTGGGGCAGAGACTAACAGCAAATCAGCATGTGCCCCAATTGCAACAAGAGTGTGCTTTTTGACCCTTTAGCGACTATTGTAATGATCAACTCAATCTAATGAATGTTCTTCATTACAAATCTTATGTGTGGTGAGATAAACATAGGCGTTGGTGAAGGAGAGTAGATATTTATCGATGTCTCGGGTTAAAGAATTACCTCTGTCTGTTGTTCGCCCAAATCAGTCTACACAAACTCTTACAAATAATAAGCTTGTCCCCCCTTATTTTCTTATTTGTCGTGTTTGGTTAAATTTGTACTTACGCCGTGGGCTGAAGAAGTATTTTTCAAACTCGTCAACTATGCTGGAGGAGAAAACTTCTATCAGGTTTTTAAGCGACCCTCGAACTTAAAACGTAGATGGATATGGCAATTTTCAAGTGTATGGCTTACACTGAAAATGACCGCTCTTGATCGTTACTAGGGTATACTCAAGCTGATTAATCTGAGATTATTTCCGACAATGTCAGCCTTTAGGTACATGTCTGCCATGATTCATCGTCTGCAAGTAGATTGAAATAGTGTAAGCTGCAATATGAAAACTCGTTGTCCACAGACCTAAGTGCTAGTGTCTCATCCAACACCAGACACATTTTATAGGTTCTGCAGCGGCGCCGTTTGAGACCTGCCGCCTCACCAGGGTACCATGACATGTTTCGTGTAGTCTTGCTTCGGGCCATAGTCAATCACGTGGGAGCAATGACGCTGTTCTTTTTTATACGTACAGTTTCCGCGCCTACCTTCGTATTTCCAATCGCAGTCGCTAGGCATTAGCGATGAGGAGACCCACGAGCACGCCTCGCTAGTCCTTTTGCAGCAATTTCCCAGTTCTTGCCTAGTACCATGTATCCGTCGAGATGAACCATTAGCCATTATATCTAACGCCACAATGGCCTTGTAGAGGTTGTTACTTGAAATCGAGCCGACCAAGCCTTTTTAGTGCTTGCTGATGTCTCGTGCTCTTGCGCCATCGTTTCACAATCTACGGGGAAGAAGGATATGTGTAGAGGAGAAGCAAGCGAATAGCAGAAGAAGTCTGATAGGAAAAAGATTTCTGTACCGAGGAGATTGTTCATGTATAGCGCGTTGTTGGAATATAGGGGGCGTGGGAGCTTGTAGCATACTAATTGTCACAAAGAGCTTCATGGTGTTGAGCTCTGTGAATGCTGAGAGTCATGTGCGGTGTCACGTGATGGCACAACAGAACAATATTTCTATAGACCTAGCACATCAGATATTATTTCTTAGCTTCAAGCACGTTACACATTGTAATCCTATGCTGAGCTGTGTGCCCTAACTTGTGAAAAATATCTTGATATAGCATACTTCCTGAGAATCCTAATGACGCTGCAAATTTTGTCTGTCTGAAGCATTGGTAAGAACTACGACAAGAATGTCTCCTTTAAATGTTGTGGCAAGGCTATGGCACTGAGCCCCGCGGCTCGAGATAACGCGGCAACGTAAGTAAATCTGTCTATAAGGTCTAGAGACCATTAGGTATCAAAACGCTTAAAAAAAGTTTTACTTAAGATCTGTGATAACAAAAGTGGATCTATAATTGCCACTACGTAATTACAGCTTATATTATAATACACCCCCCTAGGTTTTTAATATATTTATTATTAAAAGGCTAGTAATATAGAACACTCTTTGATATATAACCTTCTATTTAGGTACATCTTGCTAAAGTATAGGTAGTGTTTTTAACTGCCCTGAACAGAGCTTGAACCCAGGCCCTCAGGATTACGGAGGTCTCTAATATAGCAGATGCGTATACTGTTAAGCACATAGAGGTCTAGAGTAGAGCGGGCTTATAACTGTGATAACAAAAGTGGGTCTGTAATTGCCACTGCGTAATTACGGCTTATATTACAACAAGATCTATGGCGGCAATTTGACTGTGAACATACTTTGCTCCTTTTAGATCAGAGTCCTTTATTGTTGTGGTTAGGTTTGTGACATGCGGCAGTGGAAGCTGGGGTACTAATTTCACCCTGGATCATTTATCCCCTTTCCTTATGAACGTGTATTGAACGGTCCGCTTTGTGCTATATTGCTGGGTGGAATGTCTGGGTCATCGCGATCCGCTCGAGTCGGGAGACGATATCTCTGTCTTATTCTTATACGACCTAAATCTCATTGATAACAGGTAAAGGCCGGCTCCTGTCCGCGCCGTAGTCTAGAATATCATCATGATATATGTTGACGGAGGACCCCACTGGATCACGTGACCCATCTCCTCCCTCCTTTTGGCCAGCCTCTGCCCACCTTGGGCAGCCGACTTTCTCAGCCGAAACACATCACCACTATCATCAATATCAACGGATATTGCCTCACTTTTGCTGCTGCTGCTTGCCGTCCCACAATATATTTTAAGGTAAGTAGATAGATATCCTAAAAGATAACATACAGACACACACATCTCTGAAAATGTCAACTACCGTATCCACAGTTTATTTGAGAACCGCACTGGGCATACACTAAGCCTACTGTTGAGGCAGTCAACCTGCTTACTCACCTATCAACTAATTACAATATTCGCAATACTCACCCACTAGCTGCTAAGTGAAATTGACCTAAATACTGGATTAGCTACACTGCTATCACGCAAGAAAACAATGGGGAAAAAGTCTACGCAATGTATAGCAACTAAGTTATTTTAGTAAGTTAACCCGGTTTATATACTGTTCTTGCCTCTTAACCTCCTACTTTTACGTACATAACTAACCCCTGCTTTTGCCCTTCTAGACCCCTGTTTCTGATAGCACGCTAGCCCATTTTCAGCAGCCCGTGGCCAGTGCAGATTTCGAATGAAAGCAGTGGATACGGTGACTTACGCGTTACTAAGTTTGGTAGATCTTCGTAGTAACTTTGACATGGTTTAAAAGGCTAATAGAGGAAGGCAGTGAAGTGAGGGGCCAAACACGAGTGTGACAGAAGTACACATTGCAAACAAAGTTTCACTTGGCAGAATTAATCAGCTCATGAACAAGTGCCAGTTATCCCTCCTGTCCAGCTGAAGCTGCCTTTCGGGGCCCAACGAGTATTCAAATCAAAACTATGAAAGCCGCTTCAGGCGGATCAAGTTGGAATCCAGACTTGATTAGATAGGACGTATCTCTTGATACTCGTTGACATTGCCAACCATAGTTCTGGTGGCTGCGATGAGAGTAAGGTCGAATTGGAAGTGCCATGGGGTCGCCACGTGGGTAACGACACAAGACTTACAACAGTATCACAACGGCCCGTATATCCTGCATGTTCCCTGGTTGACACTGCATTGGTCGTATGCAGCGGCCGCCTTTTCGATTACCTACTGCTATTAATGATGTCATCGGATCGAAGTACCGTATCCTCTGACTTAACTGAAAATCCGCACAGACCGCGGGCTGCTGAAAAGGGGCTGGCGTGGTGGCAGAAATAGGGATCTAGATGTGGCAAATACAGGGAGTCATTTACGTCAGCAGCAAGTTAGGCGGCAAGGGTTAGGGTTACATGGGTGGGTGTGTGTAGAAATAGATTGACCGCTTTCTATAAGGGGTCTAGCGTATGGTCTATGCGGTTTTTCAGTTAAGTCAGAGGATACGGTATGTCTGTGTGATTGACTGAAAAAGGATGGATGAAGGTTTTAGGTAGCCGGCCCATCCCAGCTGCACCTGGACAAGAATCCCAAGCTTCGTACTCGTTTCCTGTTTTAAGCTTTTAAAACGACCCACGAAACTGTAAGACATTTGTCTAAACTTTTACACAAAATTACAATGTGCCAATCGCATGGATTTGCGGTGAATTTATGTCGGATCCTAGACGTTAATCAATCTAAGTTGTAGCAAAGACATTATCGTTCGCATCCAGCTTATTTAGGTGGTCTAGCGCCCACATCGAATTTTGAGGGCTTGTACAAAAACTAGGCATTCGTGTATATTGAGCACCGTTGTTTCCGTTCCGTTTGCAGATTTCCTCCTTATACATTCTATTCCACAGCTATCACAATGGCGATCACCAGTGCGGGTATGGAAATGATTGCGGTAGGAGCCATCCTTCTGGTCCTCAACACCATTTCTGTCGGTGCCCGCATATACACTCGGACGTTCGTCACGAAAGCATTCCAGGTCAATGATGCGTTGCTTTTGATTGCATTGGTTCGTAAATTCCATATCGGTTTCTTTTGCTTCTTTTTGTTTACTTTTTTTTTTCTTTTTTTGCTCAATCTGACTGAAAATCTTTCTCTAGGGCGCATACGGAGCCCTTTACGCTCTTCTTGTTCTGGGAGTTCAGGGCGGCATTGGTGGCCATATTTTACAAGCCACTATCCCTGGACTCGCGCTCTCGCTGAAGGTGATTTTTTTTCTAGAGATAATTTACGTAGTTCTCACCTCCGCCATGAAAGGGAGTATCGCTCTTACCTTTATTCATCTTTCACGCTCCAGGGTTCTCACTATCATTTTCTGGGTTTCCATTGCTATGGATGTACTCATCAGCGCTGTTTTTATCATCTATTTGCTCGTTCAGTGTAAGCCAGTTGATTATGCATGGAGGATGCTGGATCCGACAGCCAAGGGGGAATGCCTACCACTCCAAGGCCAGCTGTACTTGGGATATGCGCTGTGCATTGTAACGGCGATGTTGGATGCAATGTTGCTGATATCGCCCTGGATCATGATGAGAGGTAGAGGTCTGAACTCGAGACTAAAACTATACATTTATGGCATATTCGGGCTGGGAATACTGTGAGTCCATTCTTTGGTTTCCACTCTTATCCCTACTCACCAAAAGCAGGGCAACCATTGCAAACATTATCCGTCTCGTGGCTCTCGTCAAACTTACGAGGTCCCAAGATCAGCTCTGTATGTGACGTCCTTCCCAATCGGTCGTTCGAAATTTAACCTGGAATTACAGACGACGCAGCCCCTGTTTTCACTTGGTCCGCCGTCGAGGTCAGCATAGGCATAATCATTGCCGGACTCATTGAGCTCGGCCCGCTTGCCGCCAAATACAGACTCAAGGGCTTCGAGTCATACGTTTATATTGATGAGACGTTCTCACGAAAGGAGCGAAACAACGAGTCGGGAAATGAGGGGTACGAATTGCGTCCGGGAAAGATGTAATTGCGGTACAACTGCCAAAGAGAGTGATATACAAGTAAATTGATGGCAGTGGGCGGTATATTAGGCTACGATACAGGTTCACTGCATGGAGTATAACATATGAGCCAGACATCCTGACTTAACTGTATGATTGACTGAACGACGTTAGTACTACGACTTTGCCTTTCTCTATGTGAGGCAATGGAAGTCAAATTGTATTTGCGTCGAGCATATCATCCAGCCTGAAGCATTAATTGTTCTGAGAACATTAAAACGCTAAATTATAGTCCATTTATAAATAACACGCTCAAGAAAGGACTATAGATATCCTTGGACAAACATTTACTATTGATACTGTTTATTAGTAAAGTAACAGAGCAAGTGAGCATATTACTTATAGAAGCTTAATAGAAACAATACAAGGCTATAAGCCGTAACAAGTTTGATATTTCTTATCTTGGACGCTCTAGTTGTAGGTAGGAATGATGGGTTTTAGATGACTAGAGCTTCCTCGACCCCCTCTTTGCTGCCTTACTCAACACGGCCAAAGATGTTCCTCCTTGCGAAACGGGAGCTCAGGAGCTGCTCCCGCTTATTATTCGCTTGTTGGGGGCTCTGGCGGTTACCGCCTCCGCCACCAGCACCACCTAGCAAGGCAGTAAAACCCGCTGCACCCTTGCCCTTAGCGCCAGCCTTGCCCCTAGGCCTGCCGGTGTTGGCATTGCCGGCATTATTGGTGTTTCCATTTCCGTTGTTGTTGTTGTTGCTGTTGCCGGCTTTAATAGCGGCGGCAGCCGGGCCGGCAGCCTTTTGGTTTGAGTTGGCAAGAAGTTCCTTAACGGCGGTGAGACCCTGATCGTCCTGTGTCGCAGCCTCTTGGTTGGATTTGACAGCAGCAGGAAAGTCAACTATATCCTTCTGTACCTGGGTGACAACACCTTGAAGTGTGGCAGCGGTTGGAATGTTGCTTGGTGTGTTTTCCTTAGGTGTTGTGTCGGTCTGCTGAACAGCGAAGCAGCCACCGAAGGGGCCTTTTGCGTTATTATTAAAGCAGCGGACAGTACAAACATTTCCAGTTGATGCTATAATTCAAATAAGTTAGAATTTGGAATCAAGGAAAATGTTAGACTGTGTGACATACCTCCTACACAAGCCATATCAGTGGGCATCTTGACTTTGAGCGTGATTAGTCCGTTGTGTGGCTTAGATTCCAGAATCGTAAGATTAGTCTGTCCTGATGCACCATTTGAGTTGCTAGTTAAGTCGAGGTCGCAGGTGTATGGCCCGGCTCCGTCGACGCTGACCTGGGCAATAATCACATCAACCGTGGCCCCAGCCGTGACCTGCGTGACGGTCTGATTTCCCAGGTGGTTCTCAGTCTCCTCTCCAATGTCAATGTTTCCCTGGCGTATGGTTCTACCGCATTCGTTAACGACGTTGGAAACGATTTCTTTCCTATTAATGATATTTGCATCGGCCTGGTTCTGGTTGACTGTTTATTATGGGTGAGCATTACATCATCTATTAGCCGTTTATCTCATGGCCGTACCTGACATCCCAGGGCTCGCAGGACCGGCAGGGCCCTGTGCTTTGAGGATGACACCTTGGGCTTGGGCCATCGTCAGCAGTGCAGCGACTAACAAAGCTCTCATTGGAGTAGACATGATTGCTGTATGGTTGAAGGGAGGGGAAAAAAGAATATTAGAGGGAAAAGGAGAATTTTCATATGAGTTAGGTCAAATAATGTGTCCAGCACTGTGAATGGAGAATAAGCATGAGAGAGATCTGGTGGGTCGAGGGAGAAATAACTGGTTAGAGGGGGGCATAAGACTCGAAGTTCAAATCAAAGTTTGAGTAAGAACTTAGACAAAAAGAGCACAGGAAAGTCTGAGGTTTACTCCTAGATCAAACATTTTAAGGTTATACACGAGTACGCGTTCTTTATGTCTTTCCTCTTCTGCCATAGACTTTTTTCGCACTAATAGAAGATATTCTTCCCAGAGTATCAAATCGTGCGTGGAAGGATAAACAGCAGGGTTTTAGGAAACGTGCGTGCAAACGTTTTCGACGCTAGACTGGGAGAATACAGCGACCCGCTGTGTCAAACAACAATAAGCTTCAGGAACCATAACTCTGTTCCTTTACACAGAATTGTATGTGTGCGCCTGCTGCTATGTCTGCTCCTTCCAAAGTTGAAAAATTGGGTTGAGGGGGCTTCCCTTACGCCTGTTTCCTGCGGGCTCCAGGCATGCTTCGGACCACGGTGTTCCCTCAATTAAGAACATATCGTCTCTGTAGCTCTGGCCATCATTCGGGACGGATATTATCGTGGGGTAAAATGATTCTTGGGGATAGAGAGGTATGCTCAGAATGATCGGTTCGAGATAGGTATTCGTATTGATTACAATGCCGAATTACCTCCTTGGGGATATTCCGTTCGCTTCGAATGCCATTTACTGGATACGTACAGAATTAATGAGACATAATCGCAAAGATTTTGAGCGTAGGGCAACCACTCTGTCCCGCTGCTGGGATGTGACAATGATGGCAATCGTCGCAGAGTCCAGACGAGGACGGGGCTGCAACGGCGTTTCAAGCCCTCTTACAATGGGCCAACATGGAATATCTCACCTTGGCCTACGCAAGATGGCAGGCATGGGATAACTAATCATTACAGCCTTGCATTCCGTCGGCGCCTTTGTCTCTTTATCTGGTAGTCTTGCGGCCACCAAACCTTCACTGGCAGGGCCCGGCTACATGTACCGAGAAATTCAGACGGTCCGAAGTCTGAGACTAATCCGTAACGCTGAGTGGGGCCAGTGACATACTTGCTTGTATTGACGCTTGATGGCTCTTTGTAGTCAGATGCGCAGACTAGTACAGCAATTTCTCCAACAAATAATTAACCAAAGACAGCTACCCAAGGGTATTAGTCAGCCTTCGTCAAAGCTAAACACCCCCTCCTTACAGAGGGGGCAAAAAAATAAGGTTACTACTAGGAAAATAGGGTTACTACTTGTCTTAACCTAGTCCTACTTTTTATTATATTCTTACTAAAAACAAGTAATTATTTAGATATATTATTAATAAATATTAATAGTAACTAAACTACTTACCTTACTTTAACCTTTTAATATACCCTACTAATATAATAAGAATATAACTACTACTAAAAAGGTAGCTAAAATACTATATATTACTTATTAATAGGTAACTTACTAATAGGTAGGTAAACTAGTAACTAATATACCCTTTATACGCTAGGC